GTTCACAAAACAGAGCAGGCAAAGAAGGGAAGATGCTAACTGGGGAGGGGAGAGAGAGAGGGAGAAACTCAGCAACTCAGAAACTCACTGGAGAGTGAATGGGTCAACAAGAAAGCCCACAGGTTTTTTTAAACCCCCACCCCTTACTCATCTGGGCAGCCCAGAGGAAGCCAAAACAGAAGCTCTGGGATAGCTGATGGCTTCCCAGGCAAACTCCAGGTCTGCCTGATCCAACTGCTGCCTCCTCCCCCTACCCTGGGCTTTGGGTAGAATCTTACTTTTTAACTTTTTAACTGCAGAGGTCTGGCCAAGTGGAGCTGAACAGTACGGAAAAGGAAGCAAGAAGAACCTGGGAGTGGGTGAGACGTGAGGATGAAACCTTCGCTAAAGTTTGAAGTACACAGAAGGGAGTTTGCAGCCTACACCTCCCGTGTGGGTACAGAGAGTGTCCTTGAGAGCACTGTCCTCGCCCTTAGTCTGGCAATGGCGAGAGTTTCTCGGTCTTCCCCAGGGCTGTGGGAGATAGTCAGTAACCTCTGAGAGATCCCTACCGACACTCCCGCTACCCTTTCAATGGCTTTCCCGCATGTTGTCTTAACTTCCACTACCCAGGATGTTTGCAGCATTTCTTCAGGAGCCACGCGGTCTAGCACTGGGGATAGGGCGGACGAGGGTGAAAGCACCCGAAAGCAATGAGGGGAAGCCTCCCCAGGGTAAGGGTATGGAGAGCCTCAGCTCAAGAAGCCAACCTCAGGGCAGCCCACAACCTTGCCCAGTGAAAAAGGAATAGCTGAAAATCCTTAGAGTTAAAATAATAATAATAATACTTTATCTGATAATCAGTAGAAAAGGACTCTGTCCTCTCCAACTGTCAACAAATACCTGTTGGTGGTGGGCGAGTTCATTAAGACTGTATGCTAGGTGCTGGAGTCAACGTTCTCAGAACGACTCTCCTCCACCATTCCTGCCCATCCAGAGTTCTGCTTGGATTGGGGTAGGGAGTGGATGGAATGATCCTCCGGAGGGCCCTTTCCCCCGAGTTAAGGGATTACTAAGAGGCAGGACCACCAGCGCTTTGGTTCCAAAATGGCTCTCGACCACCCTGACCAGGAAGAAAGGCGGGCCTTCAACAGCTCAGAGAATCTAGGCCTTGGACACAGTCTTTAACCAAGGAGGGTTGGAAAGCAGTCAGGGCAACTGAGGAGGCAGCGCCTGGGAAGGGCGGCGGCAGCTGAGGTGGGGGAGGGTGGCGGCAGCTGGGGGGAGGAGGGGAGTCCTGTAGGCCGCGCAACTGAGAAGGCCGAAGCAGCTGAGAGGCCCGGCCTGCGCCCCACGGGGCGCCCCTTCCCACCCCAACCCTTGGGTGGGCTGCTGCACGCTGCAGAAGGAGGAGGGGACAAGGATGCGCCCCAATCCCTCTGCCAGCCTAGAATGTTCGCAGCAAGGCGCCCTGGGTACCCGAGGAAAAGCAGCCGGTCCTGAGCTGAGGGGCCCCGGCGTCCCTCGGTCGCCCGCGCAGGGCCCTGGGGGGAGGGGCCGCGCTGGGGGCTGTGGGTGGGGGTGGGGACCAGGACTTTGCCCTTTGTCTCTCCCTCTCTCTCGACAGAGCCACCGGCCGAAACCCGACCCCATCGGCGAGCCAGGCAGCCAGCGCGGGGCAGGCTCCCCCTCCGGGGTTCTTTAGTAAATCCATACCCGACCTCCCCGTGGTCAGGGCCGTGACAGAGGTGGTCCTGTGGGGGAGGGGGCTTCCCGCCTGAGACCCGGCCTGCAAACATTTAAGGGGGAACTGGGTAGGGGGCAGGGAACAGGGAAGAGGCTAGGAGTGGGACCGCTGAGGCTGGGGAGGAGAAAATGGCCCTGGAGGCGGCAATCCTAAGGGACATCGTCGGGGCTGCACAGGCGGCTGGACCAGACTGGGGAGGCCTGCCACAGACAAGGCAGAAAGGGGATCTGGCAGTGGGGCAGAAGCGGAACACAAAACTTAAGGGCTCTCTGGCCATAGGGAAGCCAAGGCTCGATAGTAAAGTTGTAATTGAAAAGTCATCGTTGTTCCCATAATAAAGTTGAGTGGTAGGGATGAAACGACCTTACTCGCCAATCCCTTTGGGGTCTCATCAATTATCTTACTGATATGCAGTACTTCCGAGTTTGTCTCTACACACAAAATCTATGAACCTGGAACACGAGACTAAGAACAGTTATTTCCATTTCCAGGTGGTGAGAAGCAGAGATCGACTAGCCCAAAGAGGTGATGGCCGGTGACAACATAAAGCTTGTTCCTGCTTTCCAGAAAACAAGCTCACTGGGTTCTTGCTCCCCAGAAGCCAACATGCACAGGGTGAGAATCTTCGTCCCTATCTCCAAGGAAGGGAAACAGGAAGAAGACATCCTATTCTCTGCTGCCCCCAAGCTCCTGCTCTCCCCACCCCCACACCACCACCATCACCAGGAACACACACACACCCGGGAAGATTTACACCCAGATTCATCAAGTCTCTAGAGAAGGAGAGAATCCAGGTGAGGACACTTTTTAAAAGGCCCAGAAATAAGGCCTAGATCCACCGCAGAATCCCTTTTCCTAACTTGTCCACAGGAGGCTGGGACCCACCATCTTTGTTTCCTTCAGCCTGGGATGGAAGACGCTCAAAGCAGGGACAAATCATGTCGGATGTGTGTTTCTTTGCAAAACTTATGCTATTCCAATAAAGCTCAAGAAAAGATTCAGCCTGTGTGTGTTCAGCTTTAGATACAATCGGTGGACTTTAAAGACAAGCACCTCTACCGAAGGCAGGCCCGCTGGAGCGTCAGTTTTTTCAGTTGGACGTGGTGGCAAGAACACCTTTGTAGTTAGTTCTTCAGTTTGTTAAAACAGGGTATCATGAGTAACCCAGGCTGAATTCAGGGCAATCTTCCATCCATCCTGGCTTCCAAGTGCTAGAATTTACAGGTGTGAATCCCACAAGGGTCTCTTTTGTAATTCTTAGAACTTAGCGTGGAACTAAGTTTGATACTCAGCGTAAGTCTCTTCAATTATAAGAGGACAATTTTTGATCCTTGATTCTCCACACAATGCTCAGAGGCTCACTGAGAGCAGTAACAAGTACTTCTAGTCTACCTACCTTAGCTCTCCCCGCTGGGAGCCAGCTCCCAGCCAGCCCACCAACCCTCCTTAATCCACTCCTTTTTTTTCATTTTCTTGACTGTACTCCAAAATCCAGTTTAGCTGCCACCCGACTCCTCCGTTCAAGCTCTTGAGTCATGAGTTAATGTACCCCACCATCACAGTGCACAATCCGCGGCCAACCCCACAGGGTAGATAGGTGCATTCCTCCTGGGGTTAATAGAACTTTGTCCTGTCCCTCCCTCTTTGGGGAGAAGAGCGCGCGTGCGCCCGCGCGCGCTCTCTCTCTCTCTCTCTCTCTCTCTCAATAATCCCTTTGCCCGCCTTTCCCACCCTGCCGGAGCAGCTCCAATGCTGCTAAATAAAAATCCAATAATAAAAACAACACAGGAAAGCGGTCAGCAGCAATGAAAGATCACTTCGTCGCAAAGAAAACGGAGAACGGAGAGGGCAGGGGACATCTAATAGTTTAAGTTTTTCAGAGAAAAACAAACCCAAGAGCGGCCTTTCACTTGTTCCTTGTATCTTCAGGTATCTAGCAAAGGAAGTGGCATGCAATAAATAGTAGATTCAAGGGATAAGCAGGCATGGATGGCTGGACCAATTCCTGCAGCAATATGCAAACTATCACAAAAGTCAGTACTAGGTTGCCAAACATTTTCTTACACTGTTATATATTTTAATTTTTAATAGCCAGTGGCTGATTGGCAAATAGAATCTCACACCCCCAGGCAAATGTTGCTGACTGTGGAATTTTTCTTGGAAAAAAAAAAGAAAGAAAGAAAAGAAAGAAGTTTTGGAACTAGACAGGTAGCATTCCTCTCTTAGCTAGGAGGGGAAGGAAGCTACTCACTCAAGGTGGCCAGCAAAAAGCAAGGGTGGGAAGCGGGGTCTGCTCAGCTCAGACAGGCACAGCGTTCCTGGAGATCATTCCACCTCCACACAGAGCTCAGTTTTCAGTAAGTTTTCCCCAAAGCCTTTCTTTTGAGGCTGAGAGCGCAGTTCTGGCTCACTGAGTAACTAACTCAGTGTACAGACAAGGATGACCTCAACTTACAGTGATTCCCCTGCCTCTGCCTCCCCAGCCCTGGACGGCTGTTTTTATTGTTTTTACCTGGAATAACTTAATAAAGAGGGGAAAACACTCGAGAGTATTGGGGAGCTGGGGATGGTTCAGGAATTAAAAGCACTGGCTGCTCTTCTAGGACTCAGGTTAAGACCCCCAGCACGAACACGGCACAGCAGATAAATGTCTGCATCTCCAACCAGAGGACCTAACACCTTCTTCTGGCCTCCACAGGTAATGCCCACATGGTACACAGACATACTCACAGGCAAAACACTCCATACACGGGGCTGGAGAGATGGCTCAGTGGTGAAGAGTATGTACTGCTTTTCCAGGACTGAGTTCAATTCCCAGCACCCGTGTTAGGTGGATCACAACCACCTGTAACTCTGGGAATCTGATGCCTCCTTAAACACTGCACCCATGGGCAAACCCCCAACACACACACACACACTCGCTGTGAACAGTCACCCTTGCCCTGGGCTCTTACAGTTGGACTTCTCCAGTCAAGTGTCTCAGTCCTTGAGAAAGGCTGAATAAGTGCTTCTAACTCTGAACTGACATCTCCAAGTTTCCTCCATCCAACAGTCCCATCTCAGTTCCTATCTTCCCTCATTTCCTCCTCCTCCTTGGAGGGTGTAATGAGAAGCTGATGAGACCAGAGCCAACTGTGACACACACCACTCTGCATTAACGAATTGTAAAACCCTCTATAGTAACTGATTAAAGCCCCAACCCTGTTAAAGGGCCAGAAACCACATCCAGATAGAAAGGAAAACCTTTCCCAGACCCAGGTAAGAAGCTCCGCACCTTGGGCTGCACGCATCCACGATATGATAACACGCCCACTTGGAATAGGATGTTGGAAGGGGAGTAGTGAATTTGAAATGAGTTTTGAGTGGATTTTATTTCCAGGCCAGGGAACCAGGGAAGAGAATGTGAAGCTGCAACAAACGCAAAGGAAGAACTAGATTCAGTCACCCCCAGGGAAGTCAGGGATCCCCAATTTCTAAATGCATGTTTTATGAGCCTAATAAAAGCAGAATATAAAAATGAACGCCCCTATTATCTGCCACCAGGGGAAGAGAAGCTCAGCCGCAGGCTCAACGACCCTCTCCTCCCTTCTCACACCTCCCTCATCTGTGGCTACAAGTAGTTCCCTCTCCCACACACACCTTTGACAGTGACCTCAAAAATGAAATTACAGACAGGCCCCAGACCCAGTTCTGGACAAAGGAAATGTAATAAATGACCCATTTCAACCACACTTGCCTGGGTGCCTCCCTAAGTCTAGGAGTTGGTAACGGGGAGGAGCTCTGGAAGGTGCCCACAGATTGCCACCAGTACAACACATGCCAAGGAGCACAGCGAGTTCTAGGCCAGACTGGGTTACACACAGCCCCTGTCTCAACAGCAAACCCAAACAATAAAATAACGAAAAACAAATGATGTGCCAAATTCACCAAGCATACCGAAACACCTAATCTAATGCCTTAGAGAAACACTTCAAGTTGCCATACACAGTCCTAAGACAAAACCTTTCATAGACATGTTTTCAAACACGAATATGCATGATTCATTCCAATTCTGGAGCAGTCACAGCTCTATGGACCAGAACTGGGAAGCCTGGAAAAAAGCAGCAGCAGGGCCCATGCCTAGCGCAAAGTAATAATGCTGTAGTGACAGCACTGGCCGGCACTGGCTACATTCTAGTCTTACTTCTGTCAGAGAACCCGAACCTCTGCTTTAAACACTGGCTCTCCTGTGAGAAGATCTTTCCTCCAGCTAGCTCACTTACGAAAGTACACAGGAGAAACCTGGGCTGGACATAGACTATGGCCTTGGAATGCTGCCTTCCTCCAGGTTCTGAGTTCTGAATAATCCCAGCACTTGGGAGACAGAGGATCTACATGAGTTCAAAGCCTGTCTGGCCTAGAAGGGAGTTCCAGGACAGCAAGGGCTACATAGAGAAATCTTGTCTCAAAAAACAAAAATATGTGAGGTAGAGGCAGGTGATCTCTATGAGTTCAAGGTTAGCTTGCTCTACAAAATAAGTTCCAGGACAGTCAGGGCTGTTACACAGAAAAACCCTGCCTTTAAAAACAAAACAAAACAAAAAACCCAAAAAACAAAAACAAAAGATTTTTGAATGATTCCTACCTTCTTCACTCCCCCAAAGACTCCATACACAACCTTTGATAAGATCAGCTATTTGGTTTTGTTTGTTTTTTGAGACAGGTTTCTTTACAGAGGCTTCATTGTTCTGGAACTATGTAGAGCAGGCTTGTCTTTGAGCTCAGAGACATCCCTGCCTCTGCCTCCAGAGTGCTAGGACTAAAGATGTGTGATAGCACCATGCCCATCTTAAAACAAAACTTCTAATTTTTGTTTTTGCTTTTCAAGGCAAGGTTTCTCTGTGTAGCCCTAACTGTCAAGGAACTCTAAACCAGGCCAGTCTCAAATTCAGACATCCTCCTGCCTCCGCTTCCCAGAGAGCTGGGATTAAAGGCGTGGTCTGCCTCCACCACCATTCAGCTAAAACCAACTTTTTAAAAGATATCTTTTAAAGCTTTTCACACCTGCTCTTTGTGTCTGTCTGTCTGTCTGTCTGTCCTGTCCAAGCTTGTAGAGATCAAATGAGGATGCTGGTGTCCAAGCTGGACATACAGATGGCAGTGAGTCACGAGGAATATGCCTTCTTAAAAAGCGTCCCTGGGTGCTAGATATGAGTTTGTGGATAAAAGCTCTTCCACAGGACATGGGTTCAATTCCTAGCACCCACACGGTGTCTACCAACCACCTACAGCTCCAGTTCCAGGGGATCTGACCCCCTTTTCTGACCTCTGTGAGCACCAGGAATCTACATGGCTTACACATATACACGCAGGGGGGTGGGGGTGGGGAATCACTCACTCACCTAAAATTTTAAAAATAAATAAATAAATCTTAAACCGCCCTACATATGATGAGACCTGTCTCAGCAAATAATTTCGAAGTTTTTCCCTTAAACATTCAAACTCTGGCTGGGTGGTGGAGGCGTGTGCAGAGGCAGACATATCTCTGTGAGTTCAAAGCCAGCCTGGTCTACAGAGCAAGTTCCAGGAAAGGCTCCAAAGCGACACAGAGAAACCCTGTCTTGAAAAACCAAAAGATTCAAACTCTGCAAACCATCCACTGGGATCTTACTCACACTGACCATTCCCATTTCAGACTTAACCTGAAACTAATTCTAAATGAAAATATCTGAAAAATCCCCCCTTTTGCTAAAGAAACATAAACATTCTAGAATGCACAGAGTATACAAACATTACAGAAAAAAAAATATAGAAAACACTTGGCGCTTCCCTCCTCCAGAGAAAAATTTCCCAGTGGCCTTACCCAAACTCAACAAAAATTCCCAATCAGCCTCTATCACTGTTTCTCCTGTGCCCAGCAGGCCACAAAATATCCATTGCATAAGACTGCCCCGGGGGATGGAAAGTATCGGATAATCCAATCAGTTCTTCTCAGCCATCCAGCTGTTTAGTTGGTACTTTTTCATATAAAACAGTTGCTTAATGGCCAGCTCTGCTCCGAGTGCTCACCTTCTGCGCCATGACTGCATTTCTGTTTGGTCAGTGCGCTGCAATCAGATTTTTCCCTAACTATATTAAAATTATGAAGTCCAGACTTACTTTGAAAAACCTCATGATTTATCCATAATCAGCACACATTTGATGTCAGTGGCTTGTGTTTTCAAAGAAAGCTTGCTACTGTCATATTTATTCCAAACGTAACTGCACTGCAATGGTAAAAAACCAACCAAACAAACAAACTGGGTCTTATGAAGCTAGCTGTGCAATAAATATCAATACTAAAAGGACCATTTTGTATCTACTAGGTGCACATGGTCATCACTGATCAAAGCCTCAAGGGCCACCCAATTCTACACGGGCAGAAGAGGACTGAACTGAACATCCTCCTGCTGGAAACCTGTCCTGTGTTTTATCTTATAGGATCATTTCTATCCAAATCAATGATCACTAACCAAATGGGCATCTACCTTAAATATATGGGGTTTTTTTTTTGTTTTATCTTTATATGCATTGGTGTTTTGTCTGTATATATGCCTGTGTGAGGGTGTTGGATCTCCTGGAACTGGAGTTACAGACAGTTGCAAGCTACCATGTGGGTGCTGGGAATTGAACCGGGGTCCTCTGGAATTACAGCCAGTGCTCCCAACTGCTGAGCCATCTCTCCAGCCCCCTTGTTTGGGTTTTTTTACGAGACCTTTTACTTCTGTTTTTGAGAGATGTTTAAAAAGGGCAGTGGAAATGGATGGGAGCACAAGTTTATTAGTGATAGGTAATAAGATCCCGAGTCAAAGCTGCCCCAGCTGTACGAACTGTTTATACACTGATTTTCAGTTGTGAGTCTAGCCTTTAACTGAGCTAAGCCCTCTCCCCAACCCTATCTTTATACATCAATAAATAAATAAATAAATAAATAAATAAATAAAACACTCACAGACCCTCTCAGTATTATTACTCCATTCTACTGTTTCAGTGGCCTTAAGGATGTACAGACAGACGTCCCAGTTAGTAAAGACTACAAAATACATAAGTTGACAATTTAGATCAGAGTTCTATTCCCAGCGTGGACAAATGGCAGCGGTATCTGGATAGGGATAACCTCGGTGCCACTGTATTGCTTCTCCCCCTCTTTGTGCCTTCAGATGGAAAGGTCTGCCAAGGGCGCTAGGCCCCACAGAGCCCTCCACTAGGAACCAGCGAAGAGACTGTGAGAGTTGGAATCTAGGTACCAGGAACAAAGTTCCAATCCAGGGTCTTGAAACTCCTGGGAAAGGAAGTGCAGCACTGGAGAGCAGTGGGTGAAGGAGTGGGGCCAGGAAGGTCACGAGAAGATCAGACAAGTGCCGTCCGGGCAGAGCCTTCAGCAACCTGCACTCTCCTCTCACACCACACCCTCTTTTTTTGAAAAGGAGAAGTCAAACAAAATGAGCCTTGCTGCCTCTGTCTTCCTAAACGTGGTGACGGGTGACTATGAGCCTCCAAAGGCTCCTCTTTCAAAGTCAGGGAGGAAATCCAACACCCGAATCTCTAAAGCCTCATTAAAGCCTCATCCCTTGCAAAACCGACCCATTTTAGAATCTTTTAGAGATGTGCACAGACAAGGCAATTTTTTTAAAACTAGTTTTTCGAGACAGGGTTTCTCTGTTAACAGCCTTTGCTATCTTGGAACTTAGAAATCCGCCTGCCTCTGCCTCCTCAAGCCTTGAATAAAAGGCGTGGGCCACCACCGCCCAGCAACAATTTAAATTTTAACAGACGGGAAAATATCACTTCCTCTATCGCCTTAGGGCCACTTTTTTTTTTTTTTTTTTTTTTTTTGGCGGCTGGCCACCTTCCACACACAAACCGAAGTGTTCACCAAAAACATTTTTCTTCAACGAGAAATCTCTAAACTTCAAACCAGCCAGGTCCAGAGGCTGTAATCACAACACTCTGGAGGCTCTGAGGCAGGAGGTTTACCATCCGGCTGGGGCCAGCCTGAGCTATACAGGGAGTTCCAGGCCAACCTGGGATACACAGTGAGACCGACCTAATCAGTCTCAAAAACACAAACACTTGCTAGTGTCCTTCTTTTCACTTAACCAAATCTAATGTGAAGATTTTTGATTTTTTTTTTTTTTGAGATAGTCTCTCTACAAAGTCCCTGGCTGTCCTGAAACTATGTATGTAGACCATGCTGGCCTCAAACTCAACAGAGATCTGTCCTCTGCCTCCAGAGTGCTGGAGCTCAAATGTAAGGTTTGGGTTTTTTGTTTGTTTGGATGGTTGGTTGGTTTTTCAAGACAGGGTTTCGCTGTTTAACAGCCTTGGCTGTCT